ATTCCGGCAGTGCTCTAAAAACTCAGGAATCAAGGCACATTGGAACTGTAAATTATGATGATGATATATTTAGACAGCTGTATAACGAAATTAAGCAAAGGATGTCATAGCATAGTTTCAAAGACGACTAGAACATTTTTTTTAATTGATAGAGCTCCATAAAAATTCAGTTTTAAACAAGACTTTATGATATCATTGTTTTGCAATACCAATGCAAGCTTCTTAAGGACGAAAATTCCAGTTCTGATTTGTTATTCTGAGATTGCTAGTTACTTGAAGTGAATCACATCGACTTTTCAATCGGAGTTGAAATGTTCAGCTTTAAGTGTATTTCCTTCAAGTCCAGGTTGTGATTAAAATTTCAATGTTATACATTTTCGCTAAAGTTGATCAATGTTTCACATTATTATATGCAAAATTACAATCGTGAATTGGGAGATTTAGCCAAGATGATGGTTTCAAATGGTGGACACAACTATCATTGATCAAACATTCAGTGTACCTGAAATATCTTCCTTTTGATCGAGAATTTCTGAAAAATATGACAACAAAATATTGCAAAAATGGGAAACTTACTTTTAGATGCATCATCAACGTCAAATTGCCCGTTTCAAATTATTATTCAGATGTTGGGTGGTAAAATCTAGGAACAAAAACTTCTTGAAAAATAGCGTTATCCTCCTCTTTCCCTTCGGATTTGAGTATTTTGTAAAAGTAAGCAGCTTTCTTGATATAACCCACCGTGTCGAACTCTTTAACACGCGTTTTTTGAAAAGTTTTGTCAACCTCGCCTTTTCAATCATTGCTTGTATTAATTAACTTGTCACCTGAACAGTACAATTGGGTAAGAACCATTTATTTCGCATTAAGCGAACGTCACGGAAGAAACTTTTTTTACTCCCTGATTCTAGCTCTTTATAGCTAGTAATTACAGCTTTTTACAACGAGGCAATGTTCAAAGAAAAACTGCGATCGATTGAGATGATACTCAAAGTTCAACAATGACAAGGCAATACTCACACATCATGGATTGTTGCACGCGATTGCAAAATTACCTCAGCAAGCAAAATAAACAATATTGTACCTTAAACAAACTCCTAAATAAATCAATACCGTAGGAATTTCTACAAATATCAGCTTAAATAGACCAAATGTCGAAATTCTCGCTAAAAATTTTTTTGATTCAACGAAACATTTTCTTAAATTCGAGAAAGCCTTATACATATCTTAATATTTTCTTTTGAAATTTACACGAATTGCGATCACTTGTTGCAAAATGAACACGTGGGAGTTGAAAAAGTATGTTAGAGATTGTGTACATTATTATTAACTCTTTTGTATTAACCACTTGTAAATGTCCTTAAAGTTTTTTAATATTGCTATATTTTCTAAACATATCGGAAAGTTCTAAATACCCCCTAAAAATATGGGTTATTTATGGGACGGCCTCATCAACGTTGTTATTCATTTAATTTTGAAAACATGGATTAAAACGCAATTTTCCATGCAAAGCTATAAATACAAGCCACGACTTCAGTCGTGACAATGAAAAATCACCAGAGGATAACATATGAAACAAAATGAAACGGGGTTTGTACGTGTTCAATGTTTCATGCAGTTATATAGCAAAGACCCTTCAAACTACTTTTTATTTAACCAAATGTCCCACACATTCCGTTATCTTTAAGGACAACAAATATATCTATGAACTTGAATTACTGCTTTGTTTGGCATCTGCGGCATTTTTTCAAGCCGAAAAGTAGTAAAATATTTCTAATGTTATTAAAAATCATTAGTTTAAGCCGGTTGAATTGCCTAAAGAGTAATTTCATGATAGAGAGGTCTACAATAAACGCTGTCTCAGCTTGAGGTGCATTATCATTCCGACACAACCCGTTAAATCGATTTTTTATACTGGATCATGTGAATAGACACAATGGATATTGACCTGCTATTTTATAATAAGAAGGAACCTCCCGGCGTTAAACTCGCATTTTCTTTATTATACCAAACGGAAAAGACAACACAAGTTGGCTAATTGACAACTGAAAAGAAGATCAAAGGTCGAGGTAAGTTTGCGGATTTTTATTTTTTTTAACAGAAATCTGAACTCTGACTGTTGAGAGGTGAATGTAACTTCCTTAATAAACCTCCCTTTACACCAAATAGATGTACAGTCAGTGAGTGGAGCAACCATATTTTTTAACTTGTTCACAGTCAGTACGAAACACAAGTAAAGTTAGACCTTCAACCGCAAACACCGATATCATCATAATCGGACCGGCACAGTGTTCAACTAAAGTGAACGAGTGTATGTATACCTAAAAACGCGATTTGATGGTTGTATGCCACTTGGTAAAAAGGTTTTTTTAATTGAGGACCATAATCTCCCCAATTACGCAAGTGTGGCGATTTTTCTTGATATCTACACATTATAGAGTTTCTCTTGAGCTTTTTTATTAATAACGCTTTAACGCTACGGGTCGTTTTTTCCCTTTTCATCGTTAATCAAATTGTCGACTGACAGAAGCCCAACCCGACTGTGCCTCTGAATAATGCCCTTAAAAAAATCAGAGGACGTGACTTTTTCAGCCCATTAGTGATCTTTTTGTGTTAGTCAGTCAAATGCTTCCTGTGCTTTACTGAGAGATCTAACGATATTGAATTAAGTAATTAATTGCTTTAGTAATTCCTGCGATCAACAACTGAGAAGCTCCTCCTACACGTTCAAAAATCAGATGAAAATTATGTCAGTTACCAATAGTAATTACTGTCTTTGACCAAGAGAAAAGAAATTTACGAGCGATATGGAAGGATAACTGTTAGACCTCTGTTTGTTATGGTACTTCTGATAAACTTTATTGCGATAATGAGTAACGCTGCTTGGTATTGTTTGAGCGGGAAAACTGTTCATCGGAGATTAATACCTAAAAGCAATTCAATACATAGAGACTGACAGATAAGTAATGACTATTAATTGAACAGACCTTAAAATCCACTTGAGAGCTAAACATGACATGAAAAATGACGAAAAAACTCTTGCCACTGCTTCTTGAACTAACGATCTCTTGAATGAAGAGCGCAGTCAAAGATTATCTGTTTCCACCGCCAGCTGGCCTTTTTAGTTCAAGATGTAGATTTTCTAATTTTTTCTCCTTATTTTTTTCATATGCTATCGATCATTATTTTTTCTATCTCAGCCTATTATCAAACGCAGGGTTTCAAAGGTTTTCTTAAAAAAATTGAACTCAAAAAATATTGGTAAAAAGGTGCTTGATTTTCTTATTTTAATTTTATTTACAGATGAGTCCTATTGCGAGTCTGTTAATCTTAGCCTTTGGAGTCTTAGTTCTGGTAAATTCTGCACCGGTTAACGACAAGCTACTGCAACTGGGAAGAATTATGTCCGTTACCCATAGAGTAAGGCGCGATTCAACGCCACCCCCTCCTCGGCCATGTATTAATGGTACGACGACAAGTCCAAATGGTACAACGACAAGTCCAAATGGTACAACGACAAGTCCAAATGGTACAACGACAAGTCCAAATGGTACAACGACAAGTCCAAATGGTACAACGACAAGTCCAAATGGTACAACGACAAGTCCAAATGTCGGAGCAGTACTGGAGAAGATTGGAATTATCAAGAAGAAGATAATTGGAAAAATTCTTTCTGTCACCAAGAGAGTGAAACGAAAACAATCAACATTCCCCCCTCCTCGGCCATGTTGATAACATATCCACAAAGATTGAAAGAAAGATCGAAGAAAAAGGTGAAGATTTAACAGACCAAGGATCAGACAATTTAAAGAAGGATTCCGTGGGAAAAGTTTCCATTTTAAAAGTAATTGTCATGTAGTGCAGTTTATTGGTATATTGATGTTCAATTTCCACCATAAGATGTAATATCTATTCGAATAGGAGCTCTTAAGGGAATTCAAGAGTGCAACTGAATTTTGCTTCCTTCACGAAGCAACACAGCAGGAAATTTTCATCTCTGACTCCTCAAACTTGGTGTATATCCAATGTAAATAAATTTCATGACATAAAATGAAAAAATCGCTTACGATAACGATGGTTATGCAGTTTTCCAGAAAAACTCAAAGCTTTTTGTCAAGTTGCGAGTATCATTAGTCAAACGAAAACACGACAAATCATGTTTATTACATGCATGACGCTGGCTAAGGCCGGTTATACCGGGAAATTAAGTAGTACAGACTTTCCAAGTGGGTACAAAACAGTCTACATGTGGCTACTCTCTTAGCCTTCCATGGTTACTTAGAAGGCTGTATTGGGAGTTATATTTACACTTCACATGACCACCAATGAAAAGTAAAGAGGAATAAAAAGGATTACTCCAGAAAGTGTGGAAAATTTGTTCATTATCCCTTTATCAAAGAATTTCCAACTTTAACACGCGATACAGATAATGATGTCGATTAATATATTTCATACTTCTCGTTGACTTTGCTGATCAGTATGAAGGTACACACTTACTGAGGGTGTTCTTAAAAATTGATTGGCTCATTCAGTGCTAATTTATATTCAGGCCTATTCAAGTAAGTCCAGCATTATCACTAGCGACACTCTTCATGAATACTTAATCTACTTTTTGTTTCTCAATTTAACGGCACATAATAGCTTCCTTTGAGAAATACCATTGGAACAATTATAAAATACCGCAATATGACTTCCTGAAGAACACGGACTCTCTATCAAGTAACATACTTCGCCTCCAAACTACCAAGTAGTTATTCTTCTTTTCTTTTCCGTTCTTTCTTATGTTCTCTATGGTTTTTTGAAAAACAATTTTACAAAAAAAATTCTCCTTCCTTTCACTGAAGGCGTAAAGAATTTTAATCAACAAAACTTACTCATAAAGAATTATTTTTATCACAATCGTCCACAGAGGCCGACAAAACATAAAGAAGCATAATTTAAACTACGGGTTCAAGATAAGTCTTGTCTGAAAATGCGTTAGATGCATTTGACTGAACGCAATAAAATTTAAGCCTTTCAACACATTTCATGAAAGATTTTCTAAGACAAAACCAGGAAATGTTTTTTGGATTTTCTTCCCACCACAGAAGCACCAAATCTAACAGAGATCCAATGATTCTTTTTGAGGAGACAGCAATGCACATATCAACCAGTAAATGAAAACAAAGACTCCATAGACAGATGGCATCAGGATCCGTGCGTATCTGTCCACCGCGTTCACGGACGGACTGGCTTTCATTCTTTTCCTTTTGCAGGAGAACACTTGGTAACAAGCATCCGGTACACCTGCATCGTATCGTTTGTTTTGTGGTGAATCGTCCGACGCGTGATTGTTGAGTGGTCCAAGCTGTAAAGTATCACAGTGTGTTTGGATTAGATTATGCCCAGATTCTTCACTCTCTAACTACAAAAAAAAAACAGTGGATGTAAGACTATTCACGATTACACAGGGAAGCGCGCCAAATATCACTGTTTAAAGGCATGGTAATAATGAGATACACAATGGGGCTTTCGATCACCAGCTTTTTCAGAGAAAGGTAAGCAGTAACTCTGTTGTTCTTTTCTTCTTGTTCCTTTTTTTACCAAACACCAAAAGTAGAATTTTTCTTTTCCCTTCAAGCGCTATTACAATTTAAATTTTCAAACTAATTGGAACGTAATACTATGATAAGATTCTTCTCATATGACCCGCTTAAGAGCCTTGATGTATCATTTCAGTGTACAACTTTAGCATAAATTCAAACCAACTTCAAAGTCCTCGTGAGTAGACATCCTCCTCTTCTTTCTGTCGGAGGTGTTTAGCACAACAATATATTCCAACATGGTGGCAAACACAAAACCAAACGATACAAAAAGGTGGCAGTCGATGGCCTTCATGTAAGACACACGAGGCATCGAGCTATTGACAGTTCCTACGAAAGAACATAATAGCAGCTGAAACTTACTTTTGATCTTGTTGGCAAAGAAGTTACGTTTCTATCAATTTAAGTAATCAATGCAATTTTTTTCTCATATTATACATCGGCGAAATAGGGAGAAAAGTTTGACATTAGCTCTATGCATTAAACCATGGCGGTAAACAGCGAACAAAAAAAATTGCTCTACTTTCTTCTTTAAGTTTTTTTGAACACTTTAGTGAGCATATTTGCGTTTTCTGGGAATATCATTTTGTTTACCTTTTTTTTTTCTTTTTTAGTGTACGTTGAATGGATAAAATAATTAGAGAGATAGTGAGCAAAATCAGAATTTCTCTCAGTTGTAAACGTCAGTCATTAATGAAGTCATAGACAAAAATTTATCTCCTAGACTCCGGGTAAAATGGCTTACTTCTCTGACTAGGATTAATTGATTGTGCGTTTTTTTTTGTTTTTTTTTTTTTAAGTACCGCGCGCTCTTATTCTCTTACCTAAAAAGTACACAATAGTAAGCACAGTTGTTATCCCAAGTCCCACACGGGCAGGCACGGCATCTTTAGGAATCCACAAAGCCATGAATGATAAAAGAACAATCATGTAGCTGGGAACGTACACTTGGAGAACTGTATATGACGTAAGCCGGTCGAATACAAAGGTAGCGTACAAGTTGGAGAAAGCGCCTGTTGGAAAGTAAGAGTATCCCCCGGCTTAAGACGTATGAATTTAAGAAATAATCCTACTTAATGAATATCATTTTGACACGACATGACATTTCTCCTCATTTCGAATGCAGATGATTGTAGCTGTTCCCGATCGTTTTACAGCAAGCTGAAACATTATTTCCTCTTGGTCAGCCTGAAACCTTTCGGTTTCCCTTTTTGAAAGATTGCGTGAAAGTTATTACTGATTATGAAGTTAATTTAATGGCAGAGGGTTTTTCAATCGCCAATTCAGTTGTAATATCGCAAAAAGCATTACAATGGTCGTTTTCTAACGTACATACCAGAGGAAATCTTCTCGTGTTTATAACTGAGTTTCACTCCTTTGTACTCATACTGAGCCATGGCGTCATCATAAACACCCACGACGCATTTTTCCGCTGCTAAGTTGCCCCAAGTGTAGTTTAACTTTGATTCTGTCATTGAAACTAAATAACAAACGAGTTTGGAACTGATGAGTGGTAGAAAACAAAGCAGAGCGGTAGACAGCGAGATGTCCTGAGTAACTGAGTGTAAAAGTTTCATCTAAGAGCAGGCGATGACCGACCAAGCCGTCTAGGTCGTTCTGTTTTCTTCCAAAGTCACCTTCGTGGAAAGCTTCCTGTCTTGAACTAAGACTTTACTTTTTTGGCTTTCCACTGCCTAATACTGGCGTCCTTAGTTCTCCTTTGCTGTTCATCTTCCTGCTTTTGTTTGTTTGTTTTTTTTCTGCTTTTTGTGTAGGTGTGTTTGCATGAGTGGTCTGGCCCTCGTATCCATCAATTAATCTCCTTAGTGTGGCTGTTCTATCTTTCTAGCCCTTAAAGGTTTTTAAGGGCAGCCTGTACCCACTACATAATTTAAAACTGCTGTAGTTTATTGGTAACTGTTGGGTACAAATAAAGTTTTTGTTGACCAGCGGGAGAAATTGGAGGTTGGAGAAGTGAAAAGTTGAATACTCACAACTCTCGATAATGAGTTCACATTTCTGTCTGTCAAATGGATACATCTGCAGCTGCATGTGACAAGCCACGTCTAATGTGATCCTAATAAAATATCAAAATAAAAAACAGTAAATTTATCTGAGTGTAATTTCCCAGATGCGAAACGTGGACCAATTAACAACCGTTATAGAATTGAAAATGTTGTTGTTGGTTGTTGTTATTGTTGTTTTGTGGCAACTTGAAGCAAATATTGTTCATGTCCTGCACTGTTATCTTCAAATACAAAATTAGTCTAGTTCCCAGTCACCAAGGCTTTGACCGAGGCGCATTCAACATACGTCTCAAGTTTGTTATCGCTTTTGTGGGGACTGATAACAAGTTTTTTTCAACAAAAGTAAGTAAAAAAGCATGTATGATATGAACAATTGCTAATTTACCTGGACATCTGTACCACCACTCCGTCAGGCAGGATATACACCATTTGATTGTCTTTCATAACCTTTATGAAAATAAGCAAAATGTCTAAATGTTTTGAAGGTTAAGGATTCTTTTTTAATAGTCACGGAAGAATCGGCGAGTTTTAAAAACTGCTTCATCTGCTTACTTACCAAATAAAATGTTTTTGGAGGAGACAACTATTACTTTTAAGGATAAAAGAGAAAAGCCCGTGGTTTTGCTGCATAGGAAAAGTTCTTCAAGAAACATGAACGTAAAACCTTACATTTTTAATATCTGTTTTCTTGGCATTCATGAAGTAGGTGTCTGGTGTCCAGATCTTTTTAATGTCATTTCCACTGAATGCGAAATTCCTATCTTGACCTTGAGCAAGTCTGATATCTGACCAAACTTGAAGGAAATATAAATCTAAGCTGTATTCCTGTGGAAGAAAAAATATGACCTTCAAAGAACTGCGAGTTCACAGAGGTTTCAAGCCCTGTTGAAGCCCTATATTGTTTTTAGCCTCTTTATTACTTATAGATAAAATACATCCCTGCGTTCATCATTCTTCATAATTTTGCTTATACATCTAAATATTTAAAAAAAAGGAAAAAATATTTTGCAGTTACATCAGGGATCAAAATAAGGAATATTTAATAAAGGTTAGGTGTAAATATACATTTATCGTTTTTAAGAGTCCCGCTAGTCAATACTGCTAGTCTTCGTGAGGCGACGAGGTCGAAAGTCTAAGTGTCGCTATTTATCGCACCTTGGTTTGTTGTAATTGGTGTATTACGGTGAGCTGTCATTGGTGCATTTCGATCCTTTATTATTCTGACCATGAGATGCTGTTCCCTCCGCTTTGTTACCGGTCGGCTGTTCATGTTATACATTTTGATGATAGGCATCCGTGCTTTAGGAATTTCGATTCCGTTATTAATTTACCGTTATTAGAAATGTATTTGTTATGAACGATCAACTTACCATTTTTGCTTCCTTCATCTCGCCAAAAGCCAGGATTTCAAATGTGAGTGCCACCTGCACTGGCTTACCTGAAACAAATGAACGGACTCAGCGGTCTCCACTTGGAAAGAGCGGCTCATCCCTATTTCACCGAAAACGAGACCTGGGTAGGAAGTATCTACCTTGGTAGTCTTTATCTCGGTAGTCTCTCGATTGATGCGGTCGCAAGATAGAAAAGAACTGGAGTCATTGACAGCGTTGAATATCCTTAATACAGCTGCGAAACCTAATCTCCTGTTCAAGCGCAGAAGTTTTTGTGAATTAGACAAAACAATATGTTACGCCAGTAGAGCGCTTTTGGTTTAAAGAGGAAACTGTCCCCAAAACTCCAAGCACCACTAGTCCTATCATGGTAACTGCTCAAGAATTTTACTCCACAATAGCACTAAATTTTGCACGATAAGTAAAGTTAGTTGAATATTATTAAGCCAAGCGAGGAGTAAATTACGAAAACAGTACTGTTGGAGCCAAATAGAGTTTGACTTGAGGTTTCTATCAGGTGAACAGGTAAGCATGTCTCATGGCGATTTCTCTTTCGTCGAAACGAGAAAAAAAACTGTATCCTAGAAATAGCAGGGAATATCTCTAAGACTGGTACAAAAGGACAACCTTCTCACTATATTACCGTAAGTAGAGTCCAGTGATTAAGGTGCCAGGGACTTACCTGGAACAAACGGAGCAATTGATGGATCATAATCCTCCATTAAATTTTGGAAGATTCTAGACGAATTTGTGATCCATTTTTTGTTTTCAACCGAGGTATCATTCGTATTATTATTTCTTTTGCTAGAAGGAAAGCGAATTGAAAATAAGAATAAAAACCATCGTGAGCCTAGTGTGAATTAATTCTAAAATGATGAAAAGTATGTAGCACCCACCCACAAGCTAAGTTTGAGACGTTCTTTTACATTATCTGATACCCCCCTGTTCGCTAAATAAAGAAAACATGAACTAGAAATCTTATCTGACGAACATTATCAAAGCTTCTGACCTGTTTCAACGGAACAAGATAATACGAGAAAATGATAAGACGTACAAGTATAACAAATGACACTGTTAAGGGTATGAAGAACAAACCATGTAGAACTCATCAGCAAGAATCCAATGAAGAAAATAACCAACATGGAATAACTATATTTTTATTACTGCTTTGGGTCTCCCACACGCTGGGTTTGCACCACGATCACCTCCTACTCATCAAGATAAGATTGCTTTGACAACATTATTACTTGCCGTTCAAAGTTTTAATGGAAAAAGTAAAGTCGACACTCACATAGGATATTTTTGCGGCATTTTGTATCGCGTGACACTCGCCTAACCTGTGCTGACAACTTATCGAATGGATATCAATAGCGAGAAAAGGTTTGAACCTGAGTCTTTTCAGCTTGATTGGTAATATTGCAGTCATCCAGTAAGCCCACAAAAGTTCATTACGTCTACACTACACAAATTGACATTTAAAGAACAGTTCTCACTTTCATAGCTTCGTTGTCATCGAGAGCCAAAGCTGACTTTACGTCAAAACTATGGCGAAAGACCACGCTCCCTCCTTTTCAAGTTTTTTTATGTACCTTTTAGATGTAGATTGTAGTCAACAAAGAAAATACTTACGATTGAGCAACACAGAAAGAGATGGAAATAAACACAAAAAGCAGCGGGGCTGAAGGTTGGTTGGAGTACATTTTGAGGCTGTGTTCATCGCCGACTACTAAAAACTCACTCACTTCAAACGAGTTTTACACCTGTATTATCAATAATTCAAAAGCATAATATTTTAGAAGTTACCAACCACAGCTACAAAATGAAATAAAGGTTAAGACCTTTATTTAACGTTGAATTAAAGCAAGACTGTTATACTTTCTCATGATGAAAAGGGAGGATGAAATCTAACACACACACTCACACATATTCTGTAATTGCAATTCAAAAATCATGATTTGTTATAAGCATTTAAGGATCTATTACGTATGTTCAGTTTACCATAAAAAATTCTAATCAGGTGTGCAGGTTGGGCGCCGCTACAGTTATTCAGAATGGATAAATTAACAACTTTAGTTTGAAGAAGTAATTTGAAAAAACCCTACGCCACCTATTTAATATTAATCAAGGGCAAGAACATTGCAGTTTCTGCATGTAAAAGATGAAAAGAAGATAAGGATATTTTGGGTTGTATATTGGGTATTGCCTTCATCACACGTCTTGGGGTAAAAGTGATGAACATCGTCCTTAAAATCAATTGCTCAGTGGTTTTGTGGGTATATTTTGCCTTTCTTCTATTTAAATTCCCATAGGTTCATGTAAATTTCTGCGTTTACAAAATTGTTCAAGTAACTTTCAATCTGCTTGTAGGTTCGTACGTTAATAGCACCCGAATAATTACAGCGGGATCGTGAATAATGTAAACATAGAATACACTGTGGAAATGCATAAAAATAGAGTTGTTTGTTATCGCTTGAGTAAACATATTTCATAAAAGTCATAAACAAAACCATACGACCTGGGTAGTTTGGTTAGAAAAGTGTAAATAAATTTCATTTTTTTTTTAATTGAAAGTCAAATACCTTTGAAAAAACGAAATGCGTTGGGGTTCCATTCATCAGCGGGAAAAAATAGTTTGTGTCTATTATAAGCGTCTGTTAAAATAATTAAGAACGACCTGAAATAGTGCCAAAGTATTAAATGACTCTGACGATTCAGTTATGAATTATTTTAACGCAGACAATTAAAATGTTCAGAAACGTTACAACAATAGAACATCAATAGAATTTCGGCTTCTCAGTTTTAATGTTTTTCAAACTATTTCACACCGGGGCAAAAGTAACTTTCAAAGACATGTTTTACTTTATAAAACTTTATTATTGTAAAGTTTTACTTTTGTTTGGCAAAACAAGAGAGCATCAATAGAATTTCGGCTCCTTTTAATGTTTTTCAAACAAATTCATACCGGAGCAAAAGTAACTTTAAAATACGGCAAGACTCCCTACTAAGAAAATATGACCAACGACTTAATATTGATAAAAAAAAAAGTCGGCAACATTTGGTGGAACAATGTCATCTATTGATTCCTCTACTCCTCTAAGTTACCACATAGCTACAAAGAAATCGTTTTCCTATCAAAGTGAAAATAAAAACCTTGTAAACTAAGAGTTAAATATTTCTGTTTCCATGAGCTGAGAAGGCTCGTCTTATTCTCGACCGATACATGAACACCTCTATGTTTGCTAGGTTTGAAGTGAACTTATATAATCCATATAATTAGGGCTCCTTATTGACGTAATATGGCAAATGGAAAAATAAAGTACAATTGCACTAGATATTACGCTCAACCTACGAGATTTAAAAAGAACTTCTAACAAAAACCTTTCCGTAGAAAGTAAAAGGCGAATAGTGATTTAGCCATGGTAGCTCGACAAGGTAGCCTTTTACGGCCACAGTCAAAATTACAATATTTAAGATGTACTTTTCTCATTTGGCCGTTGGATGATAATAAAAAAAATGTGCTTAACACGCTTTGACAACAAGGTATATGTTTTGAATATATGCGTCACTTCAAAACTAAAAAAGGTGATGTGTTGCATAGTCAAGACTTTCATCACATTCCCGCGTTTTCTTCATAGATTTCTTTTGCATAGAAATCAGTGGAAAATTATCGACCTCTTTGCCCTGTGAATCTAACTTTGGGAAGTATATAAAAACGCTACGTAATCACTCGAAAAAATTTTAAATCCCATTTTACAAAAAAGTTGTCTGGAGTTTTCATTCTCTTCTTCTATGATGCAGAATACTGTCCTCCTTCGATCCAAAAGGGTTTTAGTGAGATGGTAGACGATAGCCATGGCCAATCCACGTCTTCTGTGACATTCTAATGTATGAAGCATTGAAATGCAGCCATATTCCGCAATCAGTCCCCATGAGACAAGCTGGTCAGAGACTTGATAATACACCCCAGCGGTAAGTGAGTGGGAAATCAAGTTTTTAAATCTCTTCAAAGAATTAGGGTTGCCCCCAAATTTCCACATTGTATCAATTAGGACTGCGTCTTGAAGCCTCAAAGGAGCAATGAAGTAGCCGGGTGGGCATTCACTATAAAGATAATACTTTTATTAAAGTTTGCCTTCATGCTCTTGGCTACTGTAACTCAAATTGTTACAAATTAAGGAAACCATTGGAAGTTAAATTCAAAGTGCTTTGTGCAACACCCTTGGGCATGTCCCATAAATGACAATGAATCTGATTTTAGTTGACTTTACAAACAGAAATAAAGCTACCATAGAAAAAATACTGGGTACATGTTAACTTTTCAAGCTCACACCAGCAGAATTTCGTGACCAAAAAATTATTAGAGCAAATAAATATATGTTATTTGCCGGCTGGGAGGTTCGTATGGTGAAAAACTGTGACCGAGGTCTTGAAAATACTGCCCGAGGCCGTAGGCCGAGGGCAGCAATTTCAAGACCGAGGTCACAGTTTTTCACCATACGGACCGACCCTTAGCCGGTAAATAACATATTTATTGTTTTTAAACTTGACGAAATTCTTTCCGAAAGAACCCGAATGATTTATGGCCGTAAATACGGCAAGATCTTCCATAAGCTGAAAAATTTTTGATTCAGTAAATAGTAGTGATGCAAATTTAAGAGAGATGCCTTAGCGAAACATTTTCATTTCCGTAACGATAAAGGTGATTTAAAAGGCTTCCAAACAAACTTTGAAATATTATTTTTACAAGTATCTGTCACAATCTGACACCTGTCAATTAGAGAGCGCGCAAGAAAAAAAAGCGTAGGAACATTAAAAACCAACAGAACTAGTTTGGCAAGGACTGTCACGACAATGTTTTCTTCAAAATCAGTTAATGATCTAACGGAAAGTATTATTCACTCTCATCGACCATTTGTTCATGTACGAAGATTTACCTCTGTTCATTAAGTAAACGGCGAGGAAAGTAATTGTGAGTAAATTCAATTTTTTTATTTTGAAGTTGTGAGAGTTTGCTCGTTTGTTTGCTGTAATGGCGTGTTTAACTCTGATCTTTCCTTCACAAAAACTAAATTCGAACGGCACACTCCGACGAGACCCAAGGGAATATATTGCGGCCTTTTATCAAAAAATTCCTTCAATTTCTGTTGTGCAATTTAAGGTACAAATGTCCAAATTGAACGGAATTGGAAAGACTCACCAGGAGCGTATATTTGTTGTAGAACTTAAATTAAAACTTCGCTCGCTCTTTCACTATGAACAAATTGCTCGAGAAAATTCAGATATTAAATGAATGAAAGTTCCATCGTTCAGTTTAACTGTAACCAAATACCTCACGTTTCAACTTTCTGGGTACTTTTTGTGAACGATTAAAATTAATTGCAGACGGTTTTTAGGCTGCTTGTCAACCAACGTAATGACACTATTGTTTATACAAATTCATTCTGAAACCAATATTTTTCTGTCAACCAAAGTGATTTGATAGAGAGAAAAGAGAGGATTCATAAGTTATTTATCGGCTTGAGGTAGTGACCGACGTGTTTGCTTAAAAATACTGCCCAGCCGGAAAACGAGGTATATTTATGAAAAATGACAACGAAAGTTGGGATGTACTCGGCGACTCACGAAAGCGTTACCGTGGCCCGTGGGCAGAGATAGGAAAATACTGACCGGGTAAAGAACCAATCGGATTGCAAGATTCGTTACCGTGCCCTCTAAAAAAACAATAATAACAAATACACAACTTAAACCTCTCTTTCAACTCACTGTTTTTCTAATTTAGTGACATCAGTTGCTGTAGCAAAATATGGAAGGGATTCAAGAGTAACTTGAAGTCCATTTCCCTTTGATTTCGTGATCTCATTACCAATTTCAAAACATCTGGGATCACCTGTCAAAAAGGAAATACCCAATCAAAAGCTTTGATAAATACATTTTTCTCAATAGATGCTAAAATAGGCTGATCATACCCACAAGTATTTCTGGTGAGGATGTAAACCTGCTTAGATGACTTTTTTCAAGTGTCATTTTCAGCTTCTCTGTGGAACAACTTGCAAAAATCACAGATGGGGGAATATTGTAATCAGTCTGAAATTAAGAAAATATATTAACTAAAGTTCATAGTTAGTGATTCACTTGTTCTTAGGGGTTGTCAAGATGGTGGCAGCCATTTGACTTCCTTTATGTTAGCAGTTGTAGCAGTGAGAGACTAAAGGAATACCTTAAAGCAAAAATTTTAGATGTCCAAATGGAGGAAACATTTTCTTCCTTCGAAAGAAAGATGAATATTAAATAACTTGGTCGTGTTCCCTCTAATAATTTAGGTTGCATTGGTAATGATTACGATGAAAGTAATGATGACAATAGCAATACTTAGATGGTCGAGTATGTGTAAAGTAATAAGCAACCAAAAACAGAGGAAGGTTCTCACCAATGCTTTATAAGCCATATTTTCAAACATTACTAGGTCTGGGTTGGGCCAATGGCTTACATAAACATGACCACTTGTCACCTCTGGACTTTCATTCATTTGTTCAAGGCATCCTAACATCTAAAACAAGACAACTCATAAATAACAATACCTAGAGTAAAAATAAATCCTGAATACTTCTGTCCATCTGATGGAAAAATCGACAGTCTTCATATTTAAGTTAAAAAATGGCAAACAGTCTCTCAAGTGTTTCTAATTCATTTTGATCTCAACATTTGATCTAAAATGATCAAAACAGATTGACAAGGTATGGCTGTAAACTGACCATTTTCAAACATAAAAATCTGCCCAGAAATATTTGGCTAAGCTTCTTCTTGCTGAGGACTATCAGTTACCACACCAAAAATTGTCTATTGCCTTATTGACATGAATTCATAAAAAAGAGTTTCAGTACCAAACCCTGAGCATACTGTTACTTGCTGCATATCTTTTATGAAAATCTGTTGCACCTGGCAATCACAAAGGTATATTAAAGATGTAACTGCACTTGATGCTTTCCTGTAGTTGCACTTAATAGTTTCCTACTTAAGTAGATGTATATTCCAAAGTATTTTTGTATACTAAAAAAAAGGGGGAAAATCAGGATCCTAGTATGAAGACATTCCATGCCCTTTGTAACAGTTTTTGTCAAGGGTGAGGGCAATAGTTTTAGGAATTTTACATCCACATGCATTTTCAGATCAAAAGATTTTTTTTACACATAACACCTATAAAGTAAAATACTGTAATTTGCATGAAATTTGGTTGATTTTACCTTAGTTGAGATGGCTGTATATCTTGGGTTTTAAACAAATTGTAAACTTTCACAAGTCCATTAGCACGTAAGTTCCTCAGATAAATGACCCAGCAAGCTTTTCAGGGTTAGGGTTAGGGTTAGGGTTAGGATATGATTGATTGATTGAATGCACCAGTCAAAGTAAATCCTACCCTGAGAAATAGGTGGGTATTGGTACTGAATAGTAAACAAAACCTGACAAAGCTCCACCTATCCCGGAGAGGAGGGGGGGGGGGAGGGTCAAGCTTTGCTATGGCTGGTGTTTAAGGGTATTTCTACAAAGCCAGTTAGTTGAATATCAAGTCAGATGACTCTACATTAAATAAATGGAGGTCAAAAATGTACAATGGTTCTTTCCAAACAGGAATCCATATCTAATTTCAAGTAAACTCATAACTGCAGACTTTATTCAGGTCTGTCAGAAGGTAAGAGTTTCAAGACCCAGGCTGCTCCAACTTGATTTTCAAGGAATGACCCCTTCAAAGAGGCTTCAAGTAAAAATTAAATCTAATGTAGCTTTAAGTATCAGTCTCCTCTCATATATACATATTCGGTAAAATTTCCGCACAGCCCCATCCTACATTATGCATTCAGTTCTTAGATAGAGAAAGCAATGACAAAAACAATACATTGCCATTGGGAAAACAGATTTGTTTTACAATAATATCGGGCTGTGCCGAAATTATACCACATATTCTGAGTATAGATCGATTTCGAGCGGCGTCGGATTAAAAGGGGCATTGCAACACCATTAAATTTTTGCCTCTGTTCATTTGCGATGAGAATAATTACACAGATCCTTCTAGGACTTCTAGGGGTCGTCCGATCGGTCCATGTAAGCAAGTCGTTATTAACGTAAAGTTACATCTGGAAAGAAAGAGATTACCATTAAAGATCGTGGAATGTCCTTTTTAAGTGATTCAACGAGTTCTGGAAAACATTTCAGAGTAAGTTCTTCCAGGAATACACTGCCAGATATATCGTTCTCCATGTTGTGTACGCCAGTCTCTCTCCTTTCCTTAAACTGCGTGGTAACCAAGCCTTTATGTTGCCACACGTGCAGTCATGGCGGACGAAGGGAGCGAGTTTGAAAGGCCGCGCAAAATTCCTAAAACACTGAAAGAAAAGGACTCTGGAAAACGGCTTATTGTAATCCTAGAAAAAGCTTCACTTGAGACAGTTAAAGTAAGGACAAAACATTAATATTAGTGGGGGACAGTAAGGAGCAAAGTTAAGTTTGATAGACTCAGGTTGCTCTGGAATGTTACCACCACAGCAGTTTGCTTTATGTGGTATTCTATACTAACATACGATATATTCTTTCTACCCATAGAATGGAAAAAGTTTCGAGTTACTTAATTGTGACAAACATAAAACTATAATGAGGAAAAATAAGAAAGATCCGGCAACAGCTAGACCAGACATCACTCATCAGGTGAGGTTCACGTTACCAGTCTTTTCATTTCTTTTGCCAGTTTTTTTTTTAAAACTCAGCATAAGTATGGAATATATTTGTGGGTTTCCTTCGATACCAGGAATAAATTGTTAGCCTAAATCAAGGAATAAGTAAGGACCATATGTAAAGCACATCACATTGACTTCTAACCAATTTCTTCTTTCATTACTTGTCACACGTATTAAAACAGAGTTTGTTGATGTTACTGGACAGTCCGCTGAACAAAGCAGGTCTTTTACAAGTCTACATTCATACAGAGAGAAATGTCCTTATTGAGATTAACCCACATACCAGAATACCAAGAACGTTTGACCGCTTTTGTGGGCTTATGGGTAGGTACAGGAAGTCTTTTGATACATGATCTATTGGTGAACATAGTGAAAAAGCTAAAAATATTCATCTGTGGTTTTGCTAAAAGGACTGCTTCACAGGTCAGTAATGGATCCTCTGTGTTTGCATCAGTGCTCTAATATCACTTTGGTATCAAAAATGAAGTAAAATAACCTAAAAAGCTTACCTACCATAGTATGGTATTTATATCATTTCTTAAATACTTTTTAGATACTTTTACTTAGAGGTTTAAACTGTACAATGCTAATGTTGTAATTTCTTTTCATTAAAGTTCAGTTGTTGCACAAACTTAGCATTCATGCTTCTGATGGTCCTCAAAAGTTACTCAAGGTGAGCTTCATCATGGCAGTATAGAAAGATTCCTTGTATTTCAAGGGGGGATTATTATTACCACCATGACTAGAGACTTTAACTGCGAAAAAGCTAATTATTGACTTTTTGGATTGTTGGAGTGATGTGCACAGGGTGACTAATCCCTGTCTGTGTTAAGTTGTCTGTGCGTCCTGCATGTGACGCTTGACACATGCATACACCATGTTCAATCCTAGAGTGAAGTGAGCATCATAGTTCAGCCAAGATCTTCAACAGACTGGCTGGTTCCCTTGTCTCACACAATACTTTTCAGTATCTAGTTATAGCTGTGGAGAATGGAGCTGTAGTGATAATAAATTGTATCACTCCCGAAGTTCTGAACTTGTTTGTGAGATGTCATTCAACATCTCTTGTTGATTATATTTTAATTTCAAAGTGTACACCCCTCCAAGTGAGAAAGTAGATAATGGTACCTTTTAAGCACAATCTTTGTTTCTGCTCTTTTATTTTCTAATGAATCAGTCAGTGACATGTAATTTTAATTATCAGGTCATCAAGAACCCTGTAACAGATCATTTACCAACTGGTTGTAGGAAAGTGGGTAAGTTACTGTAATCAATTCATTTGATTGTACTGAGTGTAACTAAACTATGTCCTTACTTCTTCTGTTCTGGTTCATTTATGAAACAGAAAACTGATATGTCATTTCCTTTCAGGAACATCTTTTCATTCTGATAATCTTGTGAAGTTAAAGGATGTTATACCAAAAGATGAGCCCATTGTGTTTGTTGTTGGAGCCATGGCACACGGCTCGGTAAGGCCTTAAAGAATGATGCAAGTACTCAAAGTGAGATGCTTACCACTTCACCTCTACACCTAAAACAAGTGCACACCACTGAGAAAATGAAAAATTGTAATAACAGTTATTTCATACATCCCTGATTTCTAATGGTTGTGGTTGTTTCTTCCTCCTTCTCCACTCTTCCTCATGTCTGTCCTGTCAGATTGGCCCTCACCTCAATTTACCTTTGACATAGGTGCCATTAGTTTTCAAATCACAAATTTTTTTTGAAACAATTAAATTTCCTCTACCTTTCATTTATTCATTTTAAATTTTTTCTGCAGATTGATGTTCCTTATGTGGAAGACACTGTGGCAATAAGTCAATATCCATTGTCAGGGGCTTTAACTTGTGCAAAAATCTGTACTGCTTTTGAAGAAGCATGGGGAGTAGTGTGACAATAGATGATCTTTTAACGGCTTTGTAATGCCATCATTAAGGAATTCAGGGCAACTGAGTAAACAGAAGAAGTTTTGGTACTTTGAAGAGCACCAACTTGTTTTCTTTGTAATATAAAACTATAAAAATAGATTTTCTGGTTAATGATGAGTATATTGCCTTATCCACTATCATATTTTTTAATTCAGGAAGCAACCATGTCTATGGAAGTGAGTTGTGGGAATATTTTCAGTACAAATGTCACTCACGGTATACTTTCCCTAAGAGAAGTTAAACCTGCCCTTTAACTCTTCACTTGAAGGGCAAGTCACAATTGTATAGAACAAAAGATACTTTTAATTAATATGTCAATCTGCAGAGTGGTTTTTGCCAGAGACAATTCATTAAAATAAGACAACAGGGAATGCAAGAGTTGGCTTTTTTCATTTAAGTGTTGTTTGAAAAGTACAGATTTCTGCCCAACATAGGGAAGAACACTTGCCAAGAAGTAGGTGGAAAGGAGTCTGAGAAAGTTACTATATTTACTTCATTTAACGTTGCAGATGGAAGAAAATTACCATAAACTACTGCACTCAAAAAAATGCGAAACCTGATTAGAAAAATGCAGCCTTGTCATCACTCTAAGGAGTGAATATATAACCATTAGCCTCTATTTGGTGCAAAAATATACATGGATATTTGTCATATTTATGAGCTTCGAGGAACAGATGATGTCCAAGGACAAACATTCATACATATTTTTTTGTGCAAAATAGAGGCTATTGTATTTGTTATCCCTAAATATTTTAATTTGGGGTGTTCAAACTGGGCTGTGCAGTTGTGCCTTTCAAAGTTATTTTATCTTGGTTTCAAGGTTTAATATGCTTTTTACTATTAAACAACAAATATATATAAAATTATACTGTTTAATCCTCTTATATTTAGAACCATAAGGTATCAAAAAAAAAACAACACTGTTTAAATTGGATCTTAGTGCAACTGTTAAACTATTCACAAGTGTACAGTTTGATTCCTGATGAAGTACACCTTCACTTATGCTTAAAGAGAACTTTCACCAGGAGTGTTCGATGCTGATGGGTAAAGCTCTTGATATTTACATGTATTTGATAAATTGAAAGGTGCAATGGTTACAACTCATCATATTGAGCATTTCATAATATTGGGGTATGCTATCAATGCCATTAATTTGGAGCATGATGTGTGTACATTACAAGTAGACAATAAAAGAAAACAGAACAACAACCAATGGGCAAGGTTATCCTCATGAGGGAAAATCAAAACAAGGATGACAATATTATATTCATCAGAGTCCTTTAAAGCCCTCAAAACTTCAACCTCAACTCCAGCTTCTTTCTACTGGCCCATGACGAAGTAAAAAAGAAGCATTGCATGACAGAGTATCCACTATCAGCATTTCCTTGCTGCACTTCTGGGTCTGGACCTTGCTGAACTGGTTCGTTGACCATTCCGCTGACCTCCTCCTAACTTGACTAAAGCATCTGCTGCAGCCCTCAATAAGTCCTAGGGAGAAACACCACACCACACCACAATGTCCAGTGTTAAACAACACAACAAATGTTACCTTTTTACAATGAAGAGTAACACAAAGTGTCACAGAATCACATTGTTAAGTTACACAAACAGAGTCCATAACTTAAGTAACTTTACCTCATGCTCATCATCTGAGAAATTGGATTTAGCTTCAGACAACAATTTAGTAATATTGGCATTCAGTTTCATTTCTTCTCTGATGTCGTCTGTTAAAAAAAAGAAATTTATTAGAGGCCTCTACACTTAACAATACCAAGTGCAGTAACTTTGTCTTACCATATTCTTCCAGCTCAGTGAAAAGGACACAGATATTCTCCACTACTTCATCATTGGTTTTGAGGTTACTACAAAATCAAAAATATATATAATGCATTTATAATGTGTTAGTAGAGAATGACTGCATGTGTAGAAGTTATTGAAGGAAATGACTTCAGAGAATTACACCCAGAGTAACTGTTGTGATGATTAATACATAAACCTGGTATAGTTGAATGTAAATACACAAGAATAAATAATGATTTATGCAAACTTAACCCCAACTGCTTCTGATACTTCAGAAACCAAGTCTTAATTTAAACTTCATCTTTTTGACCAGTTGCAGGAGATTTTTAAAAGACCCAATGAATAGGTGCAAGGGTTAAATAGAGAGTTGTCAAATAGAACTTGTAAGAGTTGATGTGAAACAGTGGGTCACATTCTCAATGTTTTGCTGCCCATCTGATCACTAAAGAACACCAGTGAACATCATTAGCTCATGTACAGTCAAGAAAATACTTTCAACCTACTTGTATGCAGCAATGATACTCTCTAGTCCTTCAATTTTCAACAGCTCATGAGCACAGACCTCTAAAATCAAAAGAGAATTCACAATTTATCAAGTAAGGTACAGAAAGTGGCAAATTACAATATTGCAACAAAGTATAATCATCTTATTTAGCTGTTGTAAATAATAAACATTCTGTAGAGACACTATTTTTGGGCTTCATATTCGGTAATTGTGAAGAAGAACTCCCCAAAAAACCTGTAAATATAGGCTACCTGTCGGCCGACAGTGGGCCGACTGTTGGTAATGTGTCGGTAACCTGTCGGTAGCTTGTCGGTAAAACGTTAACACAAACCTTAATGTTTTCTCTCGGTTTTCGCTTGATACAACATCCAACATGTGTAATACATTGACAAGAATAGCTTTTCATAGATTTGGTGGCTCCTAAAGGAGCCGTTTTGTGAGTGGTGAAATATACAAGATACTTCACTCGTAGAATCGTGCCTCGAACTTCATTGGCAACAGCTTCCCCTCTCTCCTCATGTTGCTCATGACCATGATGTAGCGCCGAAGTCTTTTGCGATAGACAACCTCCAGATCTCGCACCGATTTAACTTCTTGGTCGCGGAGGACGAGGTCCAGTTCCCTCGAGTCGACCTTTTTCAGTTCTGCTATCGCCACCGGAAGTCTCGTAGTGTGCTCCGAGGACAGCCTGCAAGACGGAAGGCACAGGCCATGCTGCATCTGTCCTCTTTCATCGTCTGGAGAACCTGGTCATATCGTTCGTGTATGTTGGCCAGGCTGTGGGTGCTGACGGAGTTCTGCGATGACCTTCTTTGCGTTTAAGAGGCGCCTCTCGAGGTTTTTAACGACCTCGTCCTTGTTCTGCACAAGGTTGGCTAGCTCTTCAGCCTCTTTCTCGCGTTCCTCTAGCAACGCTGTCAGCTCCTGGTTCTGTTCCTGCTGGTTCTGGGAGGCCTGACCCACTCTTTTGTAGTCCTTTTGCAGTGACTCGTACTTTTTCTTTAGATCGTCGTGCGACGTATCTGCAGGCTGTTGACTGGAGGCTGTTGACTTTGATGTCTTTTTTCTTTTCTGAGGCGGGCGTTCATTACACGAACATTGCCTATTGTCGCCATGGCAGACGCCACACCTATTCTCACAGTGAAAAATAGAGTGGTCGAAATTATCTTCCAATGCGATTCTTAGATTGTCTGGTGTGTTGTAAATTACGCAAGTGATATATTCTATACGCATCTGATAACAACATTTTGGAAGAAACGTTTCTTTACATACTTTCAACTTTGCCGTCGATCGGTAAGTAGGTGAAGTCTGTCGAGTCATACATCACCATTACGGATTGTTATGTCACGTTAACTGTTCGTTTTTAAAACAATTTTTCTCTTTTCTTAACCTGTCGGTAACCTGTTGGTTAGCTGTCGGTAGACTGTCGATAACCTGTCGGTCAACTGTCGGCCGACAGTCGGTCGACAGGTTTTTTGGGGAGCTCTTCTTCACAATTACCTCATATTCAGTAAAACGTTCCAAAGTAGTTGACAAAAACTAAAAAAAAAAGAAACTGTTGTTCTCTTACCTCGAGCCTCCACAATACTTGCTAATGCCATACAAGCATTTTTAATGACTTTAGGCTCCTGCAACATAGACTCAGGCACTAAGTTTAAACAAGTCATGAAAAGTTTGTGCAACTTAACACAGTAAGGCTAAAATTTCCAATTTGTTAATTGCATTCTGTTTTAATGTTTTCCATCCTTAATAGTACAAATGATCTTTTTTATTTACTTTACCTCTCTGCTGTTTGCATACCCTATTGAAAATATATCTTACAGTTTTGTTAAGACTTTGAAAATTTTGTGTTTTATATAAAAGACCCCTGGACCTAAATATGACGATTTACTTAATCTCAGGAACTGATCACATTAAGAGTTGCATGATGTTATATTAGGATATATAAGGAGTGATACCAAACAATCTGAGTCCATGATTACAAACTCAAACTATATGCCGGGACATGGCATGCTTCATGAATAAACCTTTTCATTTTACAACAAAAGTCACTTTGACACCAAGTGTAATTGGCTTGCTGATAAAATTAGAATAAAGCACTGTTAAACCACCTTCAGCCATTAAGATGTTTCAATACCTTTTTGTGCATTTTGATGGCATCCACAATCAGATCAATAACATTAAGGTCCTCCATGAGATCTACATTGTCCTCTATAAGCAAGGTAGTTTAAGACTACATCATTAAAAAAAATATCTAGTGATTCAAACCATTTGTATTACTGAGACCCAATCAAAAACAGCAATTACAGTTTTTCTCAGGAAGAAAAAAAGTATAGGATAGTTAAGATTCTCAGGATGAACAATGAGATAAGGAACATGGCAAATTACAATCTCAGTCTTGGAATAAAGAGAGGTATCATTCCTTTGTAATGTGGATGGGACAAAGAAACTCTCTTATGAGGATTTGAACCTGGGAGAGTCAAATAATCTGCATTTGAGAAATTTGGGAATTGTAAATTTGTTTAAATATTCATTCCTGATTTCCATTAGATCCAAACACCAACTTTCAACAAGGTAAATCTGCTATGTACTCCATTTACCTTCCAATGAAAGAGACCAAAGAGCAGAACAGGCAGCCTCCACCAAATCAACATCTGTGTTATGTCTTCCCATGGCAAGGACAATATCCTCAAGACCCCGTTCCTCAGACACTATCTTGCAATTGTTCTCTGCAAAAATCAGTAGTGAAAGAAAGAAATCTTCAAATAAGAGGAAACCAGCTAAAACAAAACAGAGATTAGATATCAACTGAACAATAGAGTCGGAAAACCAAAGTGTGCCAAGATCCATTACAATTGGAACTCACTCACTTGATGAATAAAGCTGCGGGTAGGATAGAATTGTCCACAAGCCATGTATGACTGGGAACAAGAAAGTAGCACTGTGCATGATGCTTAACCACCACAGATTATCAGGAGTTTCATGAAAGAAGTAATTCAAACAATGACTCTGCAGTCTCTGTAACAGTTGCCACAACAGAAACAAAAAGAGGGTACTGATGATTAT